GGGGGGGGGGGGGGGACGGCGATAGAAGAGGACTGGGGTAAAGCGGGCCAGAAGGAACAGCAGAAGAACCAGGCCACGCCTCGATTCTGGCCTCCCGCCATCGACGACAGTCTGCGCAGCTGTTGTCCGTTCTTAAAAACTGCAGTGAACTGATGATCGCCCTCTGGTGGACTGGCGGTGGCAAAAAATCCGCCTGCTTTCACACACTTCCCCAACCAGACTTTTACCTTGTCCGAAGAACATAAAAGCATGCGTTGTGTGTATCTACGTGGCAGCCTAACACACATGCACGTAGCTGAGCCGTGTAGCGGTATCCTGGGCTCTTCTCTGATATAAGACCTAACCCACCTGGTGTCGTATGCCGTCATCAGCTCCCCCCGCGGGAAGATCCCGATCGGCGGCAGCGGCGGCCGCGCGTCCGGCTTCCCCTGCCCGGGGGGCAACGTGAACCCTTGCTTTCGCTGCTGCTGCTGCTGCTGCTGCTGTTGCTGTTGCATCAGCATGGCCGGGTGAAGCACCTGGGGCTGCGGCCCCCGCGCCGCGAACTGAGGCGGTGGCGGTGGGGTGTGCATAATGCCTCCACCGTCGCCCCTGCCCTCCCGCTGCGGTGGTGGCAGCTGCTGTCTGGCAGAAGGGGGCACCATCATCATCGGCGACATCACGCCGGCACCACCGCCGCCAACGCCGGGCAGAACCATCGGGCTGCCTTGGCCTTGCTGCTGCTGCTGCTGCTGCTGCGGCGGCGGCACCATTGGCGGGAAGCCCGAAACGGGACCGGCTGCCGCGAACGGTGGAGCGGCGGCGGGGCGAAGCGGCGGCGCCGGCCCCCGCCCCCCGCCGTGCTGCTGTGCGTGCGCGTGCGCCATCGCCTGCTGCTGGAGAAGGTGCGCCTGCACATGCGGGGGCAGGGCGTGGAACGGCGGCATCCCAGGAACCGGGCGGGGAGGGAATCCCCCCATCCCCTGCTGCTGCTGATGCTGATGGGGCGGCGGCAACATATGAGGGGGGAACGGCTGCTGAGGCCCAACGAGAGGGCTGAACGGAGGCGGCATGCCGGGGCCTCCCGGTTGCTGCTGCTGAAGCTGCTGCTGCTGCTGAAGCTGCCGCTGCTGCTGCTGAGTCAGCTGCGGTGGCGGCGGCGGCGGCGGCGGCGGCGGCGGTGGCGGCGGCGGTGTGGGCGCCCCTGCCTCAGGTGTCTGCAAATGTTGTTGTTGCTGCTGCTGCGGCTGCCGTTGCTGCTGCGCTTGTCCCGGGTGCTGTTGCATTTGCTGCGGCCATGCCGCCCCCGGCGCAACCCCGCCCCCCCCCTGCTGACCCACCTCTGCCCCCGTTTCCTCTCTCACGGAGTGGCTCTCGTTCGCGCCGCGTGACACCACCGCAAGTGGGCTCCCGACTCGAGCTGCAGCAGGGACACCGACGGCGGATCCGTTCGCGTTGCTGCTGCTGCCGCCGCCGTTCTCAAGCGAAGCACAGGAGGCCATTCGCTCCGAGCGGGAAGGAGAACTGGCCGCCGGGGTAATGGTGATGACGGCGAACTCCGCCTCTAGCTCCTCCAAGGTCTTCGCCCCCGGCGGGAGCATGCTCATCCCCGTCCGCATCGGCGACGCCGGGGTCGCGGCGGGCGCTGGTGCGGTGGGCGGAGGAGGCAGAGGGGTCGCCGGGGGGGGCTGCTGCTGCTGCCCCTGCTGTGGCACCGGCTGCTGTGCCTCCTCCTGCTGTCGCGGGGTGTTGGCAGACCCTGCCGCCGCCGAGACCGCCGCCGCTTCTGATGGAAACCCGGGCTCGACGTCGTCCAGCGAGAGTTGCCTCATGGTGGCAAAGGCCGCCTTTGTGCGTGCGCGGAAGGGCAACAAAACCGAACGCAAGAGAACAAGACAAACGTGGGGGCGAAAAAAAAGGCGTATATCCATCATACCAGTGGGCGAGAAGGATCCCTAGATCTGTCGACAGAGCCCGGAACACGCTCGGCATCTGAATTCGGTAAGGACATTCAAACAACGCTCATCGCAGCTCTACCAGGGGCTGGCCGTCACGAAAAAGGCGGATTCCTACCTCATCCGGGATTTTCCCTGTCAAGACGAACAAGCGTAGTGGATAACTAAACAAAGGAGCCGCCGGGCTTGCCGCTTGGAAAGGACTGGGAAGCGCCGGGCGCCTGACATAATGGCATCATCATTGGTTCCAGAGGCAAACAAATCTAGCTGATAGAAATGCCATAGGTCAATGAAACTTGACTGGATAGAGCGTGACCGGGCCAACAAGAAAGCTGATCTTGTTCTCATATTTAAGAGGCGACAAGCAAACCCTCGACCTGACTGATGCACACCTACCGCAGCACGTACGCACCTGTTCCCCGTCGTCATTTGCCGTATCCAAAGTTTCGGGTTGGTCGTCTTCTTCGATGTGGCGATAGCTGAGGTTTTTCGACGCCGCGAAGAAGAGCACAAAAAAAAAAAGACACGGTTCGTGTAACCAACACTGGTGCGTCAACAATATTACCGTACGGTGTAGAACGGCGCGCACAGTAAATGTAGACGAAAACAAACACACACACTGAGACGTGTTTCCATTGGTCAACTAGTTAGCGCGGCCGATGCCAATAAAAAATATACACATCATGCATGGCCCTGGACGCGTTTTTCGTGATGGTCGAGCTGAGACTGACGCCTTTTCATTGATCAGCCGGTTAGCGCGGTCGATGCCAACAAGAACACACATACCCTGGCCTTAGAAGAAGCGTTCGTGTTGACAGTAGCCGCACTGAGACTGACGCCTATTCATCTATTCATTGGTCAGCTGGTTAGCGCCGTCGATGCGAACAACAGAGACGCACACGAGCACGAGTCCGCACACCCACAAGGACACACGCGAAGGCCGAAGAAGAACCTTCTTTAAATACTTACTCTTGGAGGAAGCTCTTGTTCATGTCCTCGAACTGCTTCTGCATGAGCGCCCACTCCGATTGATCGGCGCCACCGACAGACGCTGCTGCCGCCGTCTTCGTCCCCTCCCCCCCTCCCCCGGCTCCGGCTGCCGGCAGTCCCAAGCTCGCCAACAAAGAATTCCCGGCATCACCGTTTCCCTGCCCGGGGCCACCTTTCCCCCCAAGGTCGAAGTCCGCCAGCGGGTCGAAGAGATTGCCAGGCGAGTCTAGCCCCCCTGTATTACCGCCGCCGCCGCCGCCACCGCCGCCGCCGGTTTGGAAGAAGTCGGGCAGGCCGTCGGTGTTGGTGATATCTCCGGCGCTGTCGAAGAGGCCACCGGCGGCGCTGTCGGCCCCCGCGTCCGCCAAGTCTTGCATGAGACTAATTTGTGTGGGTCGTCGCGTGAGAGTAGCGGTGGGTTGGCACGGGATTGCGAGTAAATAAAAGCCATCTTTTGCTTCCGACTACTGCTGTACAGCAGTGTCGGCAATCACACGAGAAGGTCGCGGAAGGGCAGGGGCCAGACATAATAGTCATACAGGATCACGACTGAGACTTGCCGCGGTTAGGTCACAACTGGTGGACCAAACAAGAAAAATATGCGTTGGCGTGGCGCCTGGCACACCATCAAGACGGACTCCTCAACTTGCAGCAACCTACCTCACCGCTGTGCTGTCGTTTTTCGACATCTACATATCTCATACCCTCCAGAAACACCACAGCAGCAGTCGTTCACGACACGCTTCATTTGCACACCAGTGGTTACAGCAGTGTCCAGGAATGACCGACGGCATGCTGTTCTAACCCCGTACACAAGACACACTTTGAAAACTCCTGGTCTCCAGAGGTGCCCTTAGCGTTGAAGAAGTCTGGAAGGTTGTCGTTCAGCCCCCCAGCAGCCATCATCATCGAAGCGTTGCTGCTGTCGCCCCTCTCCTGCTCGCCACCGTCCCCGCCTCCCCCGAAGGTCTCGTCATCCGCATCTGGTTTGACAAATAGGGCAAAGTGCGCGGTCTCTGTCGCTCTTTTTTGCGCGAAAATAGCAAGTGCAACCACGCGGCAAGCGTTGGTTGGTTGAACCCCTTTTGTTGTGTGTTGTGTGTTGTGTGTTGTGGACCACACCGACGGGCCGCGAACTTGACCGTTCTTCCAACGCCGCCGCCACCAACGTCAAAGAAGTGCAGTGTCGGGCTGCCGATGACGAGTGCCCAATGACATGAACACGATAGTCAAGAGCGAGGCTGATAGCGAGAGAGAGAGAGAGAGAGAGAGAGAGCTCGGACAGGCAGAGAGGACCAACGACAACAACTGCTGTAGTAGATTCATCGGGACCACAGGGGGCACGACGATGTACATTTTCCGACACCATTGAGGTTGCGCCAATCTCTCACCCTTGCCCTCCATTCCAGCAGCGCCAGCTCCCTGTAGCACGGGCTGAGCCCTCTCTCTACGAGAGTCCTCGCTCGTTCGCTCGCCTTCTCCTACTGCCTGGTAAATGGCAGCGGGCGGCCGCCACTGCTGTGTGCGCTGGCCACTCTGTCACTCGCTGTCCAAGTTTGCCGTCCCCCTACAAGGCACTCTTCGGCAATGAATTTGCGTCTCCCCCAGCATTCCGCCGCTTCCGGATTCCAGCGCTCCCCCGCACCACACACGATGACACCCTTCCTTCTGCCTCGAGCTCTGCCCCAACTCTGCTTGTCTCTCTCTCATCGGCCGTGCACTTCGCGGTAGCCGGACTTGCGTCTCTCGCGTGGGCCCCGATCGCGTCGCTTCCCTACAGCTCGACCATGTCGTCTGGAGGACATGCGACACCGCCGTGCAGCGCCACAAAAAATGAGTTGCGACGGTGAATGGTGTGGCCGACCCCAGCGCGTGTGTGCGACCGGAGCGTTGCAAGTTGACTGCTGGGGCGGGGTAGGCCGTTCTGTAAGCATCTTCGGCTGCACTCCACGGCGGTAGCAACGAGACGAACCAAACGACGGGATGCATCAGTCCTGCGCGTCGGATGAGAGAAGAAAGAGGCCTCACCACAGCCACGTGTTTGACAAGGCACCCACCGCTTCCTTCGCGTACAGCAGAGCGCGTCGAGCACGACATCGCTTATGTGCGTTCATTTATCGGTGAGACTACTGCTGTGCTCTGAGTCTAGCTCTCGAAAGAGCCCTAGCTTTTGATATCCGCGTTGGTTGTTGTTAAGGCGCCCATGTCTTCGATGTTCAAGTTTGCGTTGTCTGTACATCTGTGTATGCCACCCCCACCCAAGCGCAAGCTAGACTATTGGTCCATTTCCACACCACCCGTCTGGGTGTGGAAGTTTCTGCAGCTGTGCCCTCGCAATGCTGTTGTCGACGATACGTTTAGTAGTCATCAGTGCCTTTGAACCCGGCCCTCCCACACATCAGCTAGAAGTGGGGTAACGGTTGCAGATGAGCTGACTGCTGTCTAACTTTTTGATTGCGAAAAGAACGTGTCAACTGGGAATGAACGGTCCGGGATGAGTTCTTGCAAGTTTCACGACGGTCATATGACTGTAGGGGTGCAAAATGCCCCCCCGCTTGATTATTTTGCTCAAGAACTGAGACCTGTCCCTTCTGTTGTCACGTTCTACAACCCCTGGTCGTGCGTGTGTGAGGCAAATATTGCGAGTCGCGAGTGTTTTCTTTGGATTGTCTTTATTTTTTGTTCTATTATACGTGCTTCGTTGGCGTTGGTGCTGGTTTGGTGGACGGGGAATGCATGTAGTGGACGGGAGGCATGGGTGGTTCAGTTATGCTTCAAGAGTGGAACCTTTCTCGTCCCGGCAAGACAACACCAACCTCGACTGCGTTAGAATTGTACGACTGGTCTTCTTACAGCAGCTGTTTTTGGTAAACTCGAGATGCCACATTTCTGATAGCCTGTTGTCTGCGTAGCATCTCCGTAGGATGGATGCCCTGATGCTGCCTCGAGAGACCTAAAACTGTTAGTCCTCTCTTATATGACGTGTGCCCCCCGAGTTTCCACTCCTCACGGCAGCGACTTGGCTCTGAGCAACTTTTCGTTTGGTGCTTTGTTCTTTACCGATGGGGTCAAACCGCTTCCAGGATGCTGCAAGATTCTGCATGACCCCTGCGCTCGTTTCTTTCGCCTTCGTGGCTCGCTTCGGGGATGTTGCTCCGAAATCGGACTCCTAGATCTGCGTGCCCCCCGAGTTTTCACTCCACACGGCCGTGACTTGGCCCTGATCAACTGTTCGTTTGCTGCTTTGCTATTTGCCGATGGGGTCCAACCGCTCGCAGGATGCTGCAAGATTATGCAGGACTCCTACGCTCTTTTCTTTTGCCTTCGTGGCTCGCGTCGGGGATGTCGCTCCGAGATCGGACTCCTAGATCTGACACCAGCCACGATCTTGTGTGCCTAGGACTGCTGGGTTAAGAGAAGAGATGGCGTGGTGGCAGCGCCCACCCCCTTCATCTTCTGGGTGTCGCACAAAATTGTCGCTGGAAACTGCCAGTTTCCCCGCAACTTGCCTAGGCGCGTCCACGGCGGTGAGCCTACCGTTGAACCGCGTGGTTGCTTGATTTCAAACCCTTTGAAACTGAACGTCTCAAGTAATCCTTTGTTGGTGCTCGCTCCTACCTCCGAACTCCTCTATCGCCTGGGGAATAGAAAAACAATAGATCTCTAGCGTGCGTTTACTGCCTGTTGTTCCTCAGGTCCAAGTCCAAGTGAAGATAATTATTTGTTGGTGCTCGCTCCTACCTCCGAACTCCTTTATCGCCTGGGAATAGGAAAACAATAGGTCTCTAGCGTGCGTTTACTGCCTGTTGTTTCCAAGTCCAAGTCCAAGTGAAGATGAACATTTCTGTCAATCCACCGAGTGCGCTCGATGAAGACGAAACTTTTTTATCACTATATCTCTCTGATGGACTGATTGCTGTATGTTGTTCTTTCCGAATGGAAACACTTGAAGCAGATGCATGTGTACGTACGACATGATCGAACAAACGATGAACATGTGCTCTCTCTTCTTGGCTGCACCCAGCACCGTTCTCGGTAGTTGCATTTGAGTAACTTTTTTCGAGTGAGAGTTTACCGGTGTTTCGTTATCGGGCCATCGATCCAAGTGATGATGAAACCTATCTGTCAATCCACCGAGTTACCTCGATGAAGATACGCAGTTCAATCACTTTATTTTGCCTGATGGACGAAGCCCTCGTGAGTGTTCTCCCTACAGCCGCGCACGACATACAGTTTTCTGTACCTTGTTGATTACATGATAATCGGTGTAGCTTGCGTCAAGACGTGAATGTTGAGGACATCTTCTCGGGAGACGTGTTCACCATAACCGTGCGCAAAACAGACGCCTCCCACACCCCTGTCTCTGCTGTGGCATTTCTTGTCGGATAACTCCCCCTGTTACTTGCGTGTTGGGTCGTTACACCAATCATGTTCCCATCTCCACGCCGCTGACTTCGGATTTTCCTGCCTTGCATGCTTCGTGGGACGTCGCACGCTGGCGAAGCAAGGGGTGATGCATTTTCTCACCTTGACCCTCGCGAATTTGTTTGTCCAATGTTCCGGTCCATACACAGGTGGCGGGGAGAGTTCATCAGTGGTACGAAAATCACTTGGCACCGCTTCAAAGACTCTGGAACTGCTCTTGGATCCCCGCCTGGGGTGTTTCTACTGTACCTCTTGGGAAAGGGGGCTCGCAGAGTCAAGTTGCGGAAGCACAACTACCCCGTCTCGCCCCAGTTCCTTTAAGCGCTTGCCGAAGTGTTTTATGTGCAAAGACGGAACTTCGTTTCCTAAAGTTTGAACATTGCGACCGATTGTATCCGATGAGGGCATGTGCTGTAGGACAGGGCATAGTTATCCCCGCCGCGATCATAGCATCTCACACGGACATGGTGTTCCCCGCCGCGATCATGGCATCTCAAACTTAGGCCGTGCTTCCAGGATGCGGGTAGGCGTGGTACATTGAATGCGAGGAGCAAAGGATTGTGTTGCGACCGGAAGAACAAAAGAAATCATCTGTGTTTTCGAGGGGTAGAGTCGGGTAGATGCTGTTCCTCCGAGCAAATATGTCAATTATGTAGGATTATTTCGGACTGACACAGCTGATTGAGCGATGAGCATGACCCTCTCTGGAGAACCCGCAAAATCCTTTTGCATAGCATAACCACACACACCACGCAGAGAACATGCGAGACAACTAGCACAGCAGCATTCGGACTGCTGTCGGCTAAGGGCAGCCAAAGGCACACATCACGGGAGGCGTTGGGTGTGACTCTTACAGCCCGTTGCTTGCTGTCTGCAGAACAAGCGAGTGACGACGCAAGTCAATCTGCAGTCCGTCTGCATCACCTCAACCTACCGATGTTTCGTGTTTCCCACACAGACCCATCCCCACACAACGGCAGTAGTCTACGCAGCAAAATCGATCAAGCAAACATATGGAATATAAAGTGTCCAATCCGTGTTTTGGGGTTAAGGTTGGGGATGGGGTCTGCGTGCCCCCCGTCTAATCTTTTTCTCGATACTGTTGAAAAACAGTGTAGGCGGTCCCTCAACGGAGATAATGAGGCGTACACATTGCCGTTGCCAAGTCCGGCCAAAGGCACACGTCATGGCTGGCGTAGGAAGCTGTCAAGAGCCAGAGGCCTGCTGCCAGCAGCGCAAAATCGAGGGAACCATTCGAGTGCATACAAGTCAAATCTGTCTGTGGTCTGTTCCTCTAGAGTAGATGTCCCTAGTAAGCCCCACTTATGCCACCCTGTGCGGAAAAAGCTGGTGCTTCGTGAAAAGGTTGACCTAGAGTTTGTTCTTCTCACATTAGCTCTAAAGTCCACAACAAATGAGGAGCCCGTGGTCTCAAAACCCGGCACATACCACCCGCGGGGAAACAAAATAAAAACAGGGTACAAACCACTCGGAAAAAGAAAACAAAATGATGAAAAAGAAAATAACAGGTAACGGATCGACCGTTCTAGAAAAGAGCCCTCGGAAACCGATAAGAAAAACAAAAACAAAAATAAAAGGGTAAAGATCAGTAGTACAATCGAGGTATTGAACGAAAACTAAAATCACTGAGAGTAAAAAACAAAAACATCGAAAACAAATGAGTTTGTGTGCTGTTACAGTCAGTACAAGACATGGCTCCTCGAAGCTAAAAAAACCGAAAATACCACCCCCCGCCAATTAAGCCCCACTCTGCGTTAGACACATTGTGCACGTTAAACGTTTCAGGACATGATACTTGGTGTCATGGTCAATCACCTTATGAATTTGAGTCGTTGCCAAAAAAAACAATGTATGCGGGGATGAAATTGTATCCCCGGGTTTTGAACCAATTTTTTGGACGGAAAAACACCTCAAGTATCGCCTGCTGAGGGGCCCCGTGACCATGAATCGGGGTAGGGCCAAAAAATTTGTTCAGGATTGAGTCGGTACTGGTTTACAACGACTTCACATAAAAATCGCGACATGAAACGGTAGTTTGTACGCCATTTTGATTGGTAAGAAGCGGGTGCATTTACCGGTGTTCGCGTCTGTCTACGGCAACCCCCAGTCAGTCCCGATATGCACGATGCTGCATCTCCTGTTTTTCTCTACTTCGCTTTCACCCCATGATTCGCCGTTTGACCCAGACCTCGACACTAAAGCAAGGAGCAAGTAAATACAATCGGGGGGGGGGAGTTCCCAACCGGGGACGGAGTGTTCACATCCCCGGGTTTTCCAGTCAGCAACTGATTCAAACCGCTAGAACGGTACAGCGTGGCCTCGTACAATCGCAGAACTGCTCGACGCTCCAAAAAAACTCCAACCACTTGATTGCCGACTCCGTGCCAATTCCAAGGGCGGTTTCAACCGATTTGGAATCAAACTAGGTTGAGTTCGGATCGGTACAGAAAAACCTACACGTCGACTACGCGTGCCGGCGTCAGCGTTCGCCCTGACCTGGATACGCCGGCATTCCCCACTACCCCTCCGACCACTCGACCACGACCAGCACCCTGCCCAGTGGCATTCGCCACAACCCCCTCACCCACTTGATCACGAACGCCACCCCGCCCGCCGCCCCTCCCACGCCCGCCCCTTCCTTCTCTTCGCCCCCGCCCTTGCCCCTGACCTCCCTCTCGCCCGCCGGCCGCCGCCTCGGGTCGACTTTCTACTCCCCGCCCACCCACCGCCCCTCTACCGCCCGCCGTTCGGCCAACTACACGCCCACGACCAACAACAGCCCGGCGCCCTCTCTCTTCCTCCCCCCCCCGCCCGCGCCCCCCCTGCCCTCCTTCAAGCCCCCGCCCCCGCCCCCCTTTATCTCCGTCCGGTCCCTGTCCCCGCCCGCTAGAGCCTTCACCCCTTGTGTCGCCTCGCCCTCCTCCCCGCCCATGCCCACGCCCTGCGCGGTTTGCCCCCTGTTCCAAGCTCGCATCCTCCCTCGCTGCCCTCTTGATCTCCCGTGCCATTCTTCTTTCTTTCAGAGCTTCCTCGGCCTCCACCTTCTGGCGTCCGTCCTCGAGGTATTCTTGCATGACGTCATCGCACGTGATAACCCCTCCTTCCGGGAGACCTTGCGACTTGCCGGTGATGGCGAGCTTCTTCTGCTTCATTTTCGCCATGACGAAGGCTCCGAGCATGACCGTGTTGATAAGGATGCCCTTGACGCANTCCTGGTCCAACATCTCTGTTTTGCAGGTAGCACTCCACAAGGCACCAAGACAATGAAGGTGCTTGCGGAGAGCGGACAGAAAGTGGTTGGAGCGATGCGTTCAAACTCCCTGGCCAATTTGACAACTTCGTAGGTAACATGCGAGGCGTGGCCATCAAGCACGAGCACTTGTGGCGTGCCGTTGAACATTTACAAAGGGCAGCGTCTGCAAGCGGACTGGGTCAAAGGCAGAAACGGCCCTCCGAACGCGAAACTGGCAGTCACCGATTCCTCGTTCATGCAGGGGACCGTTCTCGTCAACTACATTCGAGACTTTCACCGGCAGCTTCTCGACCGCGGCTTGATCAACGGCACGCCACACGTGCTCGTGCTTGATGGCCACGCCTCGCATGTTACCTACGAAGTTGTCAAATTGGCCAGGGAGTTTGAACGCATCGCTCCAACCACTTTCTGTCCGCTCTCCGCAAGCACCTTCATTGTCTTGGTGCCTTGTGGAGTGCTACCTGCAAAACAGAGATGTTGGGCCAGGAAAGGTACGTAGCCGAGGTGGCGTTGAGCGTAGGGAAGGTGGTCGGGGCGCACCTGGTACCGCTTTCTCTAGGTCTGTGTACTATTTCTACAGAGGAGGCGAACGACAGCATTGTAAGCCAGGGGGTATCGGCAAAGGGCGAAGAGACTAGACTACGGCTTCATCTGTCGGCGATAGAAAATAATCACATCAGAAAAGAGGCGCAGCCGCATACGAACACACGCAAGCTTGCGCTAGAGTGCGACACACAGCCAAACCCGTCTAGGTTCCTGTTTCATCCCCAACACTCACCTCATGCCACCGTCCCTCTTGCTATAACTCGGGTGACTTCGAGCGTGCGGTAACACAGTGAGCGCCGGGGAAAGGGAAGGGGGCATGTGCTACTGCTGTGGTGTATGTCAACCGTGCGTTTTAGTCTAGTCTACAGCTGTAGTGGAATAGATCTTGCAGGTGTGTGGGTTGCAGGGGCGGATCCATCGATCCACACTGAAAAAAAATATCGGCACAACTCCGCCTGCTGCTAGCAAGTTGCCGCGCAGCTGCACCGCGCACTACAGCACTGCTGTAGCCCTTGCCTACTGCTTAGATCCATCAGCAACACCGTTCTATATGGACCTCACCTGTCTCATCTGTGTTCCACAGGTGATCGGCAGGGATCTTTTCCTTGTCAACGAACTCGCCAAAGTCCTTGTAGAACGTCTGCAGACGAGTCTCGTCGTCACTCATGATTCTGTTGGCCTCGAAGATGCGGGCGCTGCGTTCCGACAGCGCAGGATGCCTCTTGAAGAAGCCGTCTAGCCATGATTGCCCCGGGCCGACTGCTGCATCCCACGGGATATACCCCGACCGTCGTTGCACAGCTGGCGCACATGTTCTTGCAGCGCGGTGCGGTCGATCCCGATGAAGTGACGAGCAGCGTACAGCAGTGCATCTTCAACAAATCTTTCCTCCTCGACTGTGAGCACCGTCCTTGGACCAACCTTTGCATCCATGCTTGCATCACCGCTCAGACGGCGAGGGAGAGAGCGCTTGTTCACGCCATAGGCCTGTGCAGCAGCCCGGAGAGACATTGCGCCGCTGCGGACAGCCTCGATGGCCTTCTGCGCCTGCTCTGGGTCCACCTTAGACCTGACCATCCTTAGCAACAGGAGCGGCCAAAACGCCAACCTTGCAGTATCCACCGACGGTGGTGGTTGTGGCGCTGTATCTCGGGAGTGGCGCAGCTGATTCGTGCGTACAGATGCTCAAACGCAAGCTAACGGTGTGCTTTTCAAGTTAAAGAAAAAAAATGGAGTTCCATGAGTTTGGCGGAAAGTTATGACGGTTACAAAAATAGTGGGGCTTAAATTAACTGGCTCTGGGGCTTCATAGGGACATCTACTCTACAGGCCGATCTTTGCTTCAACCCAAGGAAGCACCCCCGACAGAGACTGGTGAGGCGTACTAAACGCTGTATGCCGAGGGCGGCCAAAAATACACATCGTAGGAGGCATCGGGGGCGATTTGCAGAGCCCGTTGCCTGCTGCAAGCAGCGAAAGCAAGGAAAGCAAGTGCACACGCATCCCGCAATAAATAACAGCAGCAGCAAGCAGCAGCTAGCTGCAGCACCAGCTGCATGTTCTGATGATATTGAGAGATAAACATTGCTCTCAGTCATCCCCCGACTGACTGGTGGTGTTGGATGAAGTATGAACGTGTGCACTGGTGACCTCTGTGGTGGCGTAGGTTCCATCCATATTTATCTACGCTTGCTTTGATGTCTCTCTCCGCCCCTTCTTTCGCGCGCTTCGCGCGAAAATATAGTCTAGACTAAAATAGATGCATGCTTTTTGGACCCCTAGACTAGAGTAGAAGACTAGACTAGACTAGTCTAGTCTACATATTATTTTTCTCCCATCATTGGATTCTATCTTCTGCCCCTCTGGCCCCTACCTCCACTTCTACGAGCTAGACTACCTATGTATGGGAGTGGAGCCGAAGTCGTAGGGTACACGGCGATTGTGGGAGCCACTGGTACCAGGTACGCTTGTAACGAAGGCATCTGGTGCATTGAAACCAAGCGTTTTCTTGTCATTTTTGGACCTCTGATCGTTGTAGCTTGTGTTGTTTTCGAGTTTTGTTGTCGACTAGTCTAAGGAATCCTTAGGATAGGGTGTGTTGAACTTGTTGGCAGCGCGGATAATGCCCGTAACAAAGGGCGCGAAAACGTTGCCATATTCGCCGGTTGGAAACCTAGGCAGTGTCAGAGACACCGCAGACTGTTCGGACCACTTTTAGCGGGTATGTTTTCAAGAAGGGGATTGTGTTGTTTTTGTCCCACCATTGGACTCTGTCGTCTGCCCCTCTGGCCCCTATCCTCCACTTCTACCAACTAGACGACCCAACCGGGGTCAAACAGGAGGGGGAGGTTGGACCCCCTCCTGCGGTTCTTGCCTGAGAATTTTTATCGCGAGAAGGGTAAAGCAATCACTTCCCTCGCGACTTATGAAGTCGATCAAGTTTACTAACAACGAGCTTTGCAGTGCGTCGCTTCCAACGGAGACCAGGATTTAATAAGCGAGAAAAAACTCACTCTGTCGGTACTCGAACCCATGACCTGGCCCTTAGCAGGCTGCGAGGCTACCCACTAGACCACCGGGGCGACTGGTGTGGTGATAGGGGACTGACCGCAGCATGAAATCAGGCAACTCGTAAGAACGTTGGAGTGTTCTTTGTTGGATTAGTTTTTTTTGTGTGTGTATCTCGAATCGAGGACAAGGGTTATTGTGCGTGTTTCTGGTGTGGTGAGCGTCAGAGGTTTGTCGCGATCACGATGGTCGACGCACAGCGGTGTTGTACAGTACAAGGGACAATATCATGATATCTGAAAAGAATCCATGTGTCTGACAATTTTTGTCAGACACGTTCAGTGTATCATGCGAAGTTTGAACTGTCGAATTTTGATACCATTTCTCATGATGCGCTTGAGTAGGGAAATGCCCGACATACATGTATCCTAGTTGGATTGCGTACGCTTGGTGTCAGGTTGATCTGGAATGCCGCCGCAGAGTCGATCGAGACCTGAACGACTTTTTTTTGCGTTTTTTCATCTAGCAGAGTCGCCGCGGTGGTTCGGCTGGTGCCTTTACTTATCTTGAGACTCGTCCAAATCTCTGTTCATCATAGTGCCGAAAAGTTGTTTCCACGACAATCGGGAGGGACCGAACTGCGTACGGAAAAATTCCCGGGTTGCCAATAATATTTGCTTGGAAGAAAGCGACGGCGAGGGAATTTTACGAAGCAAAAGTTTCAGCGCTTGCCTTCTGCGTGTGCGGCCCTGGCTGGTGCGTCGCACATACTGTCACGGGTAAAAGACCGGTTGAGGGGTACAAAAAACATGAGGGCGACGACCTGCCTCGAGGGAATGGCAACGCACGAACGCCTTACCAGACACGCTAGATACACATCCGTCAACGCTGCAAATAATCCACGTGCCCTCCCTCCATATCACCCCATGCAAAGACGTGAAACGGTTTCGTGGCAGCGAATCATACCCTCAGCAAGTTGGATCTAAAAATACGGTTTGCTGTAGTTGATAATGCTGACGACTACCCTTCCCAGCAGACAAGTCGACCCTCCGACCAAATCTTGTGTGCGGCTGGCGGAAACGAAACTTCGAGCCGATATTCCCGCCAACCAATGGAACCGGACATAGTTGCTGCATCCAATCTCATCTAGTCGCGAGGTCAAACAATGATTGATTCCCGTTTGTACATTTTGGACCTCAGGGAGCGCAGAGCAACCATTTCATCATGACGATGATATGGTCTCCATCCCGCTAACCGTCCGGTCGGAAAATCCGGAAACCACGTTGACATGCAAGCGACAACAAGCGATCATGAAGCAGCAACAACGCTAAGAACCAAGAAAAAAAAAGAAACACAATCGAAACCGGGCTGGAATCACACGAGCACGCCATCACCTCGTCCTCCTCCTCGGTGTTGAACGGAATGCATTGCTGAACAACGCGACTAGGTTCGCAACGATAACTCCACAAAAGCTTCTTTGATCCACAGTAGAGTATGGGTCCCCAATGCCCTTCCTAGAAGACGTATCGTTCGAGAAACTGCACATGTCCACAGAGTAAATGCGCAAAGAAAATAATATGTAGGGGCGAAGCGCACGGTCCCCACCGGGATGAAAAGAAAAACGATTGACAATTCAGGCTTTGAGTCGGTGATGGGGACCACATCCTAGAAAATGTCCTCGGCCTTTATGACCCAGTCAAGTTTCCCTCGTCGATAAATCTCTATCCCCTCCTTCGTGACGCGCAGCTCGTATGAGGGGTCTTTCCTCCTCAAGAACCCGAACCAAGATGGCCGGGATTTGCGCTGCACGATTGTGCCGTCGATGGAAACCTCCTGCGCAGTTGAATATTGTTGGAGGTGTCGCACACAAACAAAGCGGTTGAGGGGGGAATAGTGTTGTGGGATATGGTGTCGGTACAGTTTTTTGGGGGAAGATGTTTTTGTGCCTGCCCACATGTAGGACTTCTGCAACCACTACATCTGACTTCTACCACCGACCAAGCGTTCCAGAATGAGAGGGGGGACACAACTGTATTTACAGTTAACCGGGGGGGGATACTGCAGGGTGCATGTTGCAATAGAAAGAGACAACAGTTCCGCCAGTTTGAACCAAAGCATAGACGTGGAGATCGATCCCCAATTACCACACAACATCCTACCAGAAAACCCTGACACTCCACAGCTTGAGACTCTTTGCTGCCCTCCAACGTACCAAGGTTCCCCTGTTGGTGAGCTTCAGCGTGGCCTCCATCAAGTGGGCCTCCGCGTGCTCCCGCGCTCGCCTCCGGCGGAAGCCGTTCTTGCCAAACGGCAAAACGCCCATGATGGCGGCCATCTTTGACCTCTTTAGTTCGCGGCCCTCGCGCAAAGCCTCACTTCTCCCCAACCTCTGCGCCCAGATTTCGGAACGGTTCCTCTCGATCTTGGACATCTGCTGCTCGTTGGGGGCGAAAACAGTCATAAGCTTCTGCGGTACGGGACCGATCTTTCGCCCGTCCTCGTCCCGGGGCGCCTCTCCGGCGGACGAGGCGTGCACGACGGAGCCGGAGTTGGGCGAGACGTAAATCATGGCCTTCTTGGTCGGGCCCACTAGTTTCCCGAACAGAAATCTTTCGGCCCGCAAGACGTTCTCGTCGTGGAACTCATTAGGCGGGGAGAACGAGTTGCCGTTGCGGTTGCGGTTGCGGTTGTTGTTGTTGCTGTTGTTGTTGTTGTTGTTGTTGTTGTTGTTGTTGTTGTTGTTGTTGTTGTTGTTGTTGTTGTTGTTGTTGTTGTTGTTGTTGTTGTTGTGGTTGTTGTTGTTGTTGTTGTGGTTGTTGTTGTTGTTGTTGTTGTTGTTGCTGTTGGCGCCGCTGCTGCCGTTGCTGTTGCTGTGGTGCCGGTCCTTCTGCTGCTGCCTGTGCTGGTGTGCCTTCTTCTTGGTGGTCCAAGAACTCGAAACGGGAATCGGTGAAGAACCCTCGCCCCCGCCACCGGCGACGACCTTCTTGCCGTGGTCGTTGACGGCGCGAGCTTGACGGGCCTTGCCCGTCATGAACTCGGCCATCGACGCACCGGAAGCGGGGTTGTTGCCAACGTCCGCCCGAGTGCTCCGGTTGGCAGCAGTATCTGTCGCAGGCGTTGTAGGTGCAGCGGTGGCAGTAGCAGGAGTAGATGAGGCCGGTGTGGCCTTCGAGGTGCCCGTCATGAACTCGAACATCGACGCACCGGAAGCGAGGTTGTTGCAACGTCCGCCCGAGTGGTCGGGTTGGCAGCAGTTTCTGCCGTAGGCGTTGCAGGTGTAGCGGTGGCAGTAGCATGAGTAGATGAGGCCGGTGTGGCCTTGGGGGCAGCCGCGGTGTTGTCGCCATCATCGCCCTCGTCGGGAGCAGCAGCAACAACAGTGGAGAACGCGGCGGCGCGGTTAGGGGCGGTGGCGGAGGAGGAGGACTTGTCGTCGGCGACTTCTCCGACGGTAGCGGTAGGGACGGTGTTGGTCGTCGACATGCCCTTAGCAGTGGCGGCGGCGGAGTCGCGTTCCCTGTTGCTCTTGGCGTGGCGGATGTCTAGCTTCCTGCGAAGCTCAGGGTCGGTAGGCATACTCGACGCCGTAAGGTCGGCCTCCTTCTGTTGTTGGTTGTTTCGATGTGCGTGCAACGTTGGAGGGGGGTAGAGAGAGAACGAGGGAGTCAGCGACTTCGTCATGCGAACAGCCGTACAGGGGCAACTTTCCTGCAACATGTTCTTGTCGAGAGAGCGTGCGCGCCAGGAGGTGGTGGCTAGGGGCAGGTGAGAAGTTGCCTTCTGAATCTTTCGCTGTATCCTCCTAGAGAGATTTCGGGAAACAAGTTACGGAGGAGTGCCGCCACTTGGAAGGAGCGACGTCTTCCGAAGACGGGACCGAGCGTTTCGTAAGCGCTTCCACGGTCAATGAAAAATCAACAACAGAAACGACCCTCCCTCGTGAACTACTGCATACTTGCGACACCGCCAGAGTTGATCATGACCTACCCGCCGCAAGGAGCTCGAGCCTGAGAAAGAGGTTACGCCCGAAACTCAACCAACATGCATGTGTGCCTCTCCTTCAGAATACGAGTACCTGGTCTGCGGCCGCAGGGTCGGCCACCACGACAGACGTGGCCGTGTACCTAATGGTGTTTCGAGATTCTAGGGACCCTTGGCCCTCGAAGGCCACAACCCCGTGCTCGTCCATCTGCGCATGTGCGACAACCAAATGGCAGCAGCAGAATCAGCAGCAGCAGAGGTCAGAGATATCGTTGTTGTTGCTGCTGCTGATGATGATGGTGATGGCAAAAATTTAGGTATCGTATTCATACCCTTTATTCTCTCAAGTAAGGCAAAGATGATGCAAAAACGCTCATACGCAGAGGCCACCTAAAAATCTAACCACCAATAATTTGTCTAGGCTATACGAAGTGTACCATCGAGTTGTGTAAGGCGACGCGAGTGTCTCGATGACAACATGCCGCGCGTACATGCACAGAGAACAAAACACTCATAGTCCCGGGACCACATACACCGGGGCGAGTGGGATTATGTCTACCTCGACGCAGCATCGTCTTGGTTGGGCCAACTCAGTTTTTTCGGCAAGTGTTGGGACAGCATCGTGGGAGGAGGGGTGTACTCAAGCCAACATACCGAACACATGGGCGGCGAAATCTTTGGCAGGTTGTTCAATCATCGCTTTTGAGCTCACCAGCGTGCCATCGAGGTGCTCGGGGAGCCACCTGGTCACGTCAAATTGGACGTTCCCGAAGACCCGAAGGATGGGTTGGTTGTCCATCTTTAGTCGAACAGTTTAACAGCGGCGCACGCGCGCGCAGGGGAGGGGGGAGATTGCCTTCATTGAAATATACAGCGGGAAGGAACACCACGATGAAACAACCACAGTACCGGAGGTATGGGAAAACCTTAAACGTAGGCTGTAGAATACCTTAATCTTTTCCAGAAATTATTGACAACAAGTACACGATGGGATGGGTTTTCAGTAATATCGTTGAAGTAGTTTCGCCCTGTTCATATTGATGTGCACTTACCTCCCTCCTCTTCATCACGACTGTCGGCGCGCGGATCGTCAACTTGGCCCCAGCGTGGACCTTCAGGGCAATGCCCATGGTGTTCATCGGGGCGTGGGAGCGCACCACCGTGTCACCGGTAACGACGATCGTCTGTGTACATACGTCAAACACAAAAAAAAGACGGGTCCGAGTGAGAAAGTATTGTTGGGAGGTACAGAAGGAAGAGCGAGACAGTTTTCGCGAACATGCAACGAGAAATACCTATGGCAAAGAACATGATATGCCGCGTTTTCCCCTCAAACGACGTACATGTCATGTATGTATGTATGTATGTATGTATGTATGTATGTATTTTTTTGTTTTGTTTTTTCGTTCCCCTACATTTTGGCGACAGTCCCCCTACTGTATATATATTTTCTGGTGATACATGTATTACGCTTTTCAGTGTATGTAAGAGTACACCACGTTCCAGTTTATTTTTTCGTACAACTACAACCAACCATCCAGGGTTACACGGGAGGGGGGTAGTCTAAATACCTGGGCTTTTTTCTTCTTTTTCTTGTTATGCTTGCCCCACCTTTCTTCGGCGGTGCGTGCTGACTTTTATTTTTGCCTTGTCGATCTATCTCTACTACAGCATTTATATGATAAAAATTTTGATCTTCCTTCGTCAGCGTTGTTCATGCTGCCCATCTCGACCCCTAACTTTCGCGAGGCAGCGGAGAGGATCATCCTGCAGTTCTTGCAAGACAACTATAGCTATATATCCCATCCAAGCAGCAATATTGCTGACAATACATTCGCGCTCGTTCAAAAAACAAGATCATGAAATGCACATGCATACATGTATATATATCCAACGGCCACAATCAACGGGAAGTCCATACGGGGATGATGGCGGTGGAAAAACCTTGGGGCGCATGCAAGGCGGACATACTTACCTCTCATTCAACTGGAAGATAGGGATGGAACCATCACGTCAACATATGATAGGCCATAATATCATTATCGTGGATCTCAACCACGCGGTACGGTGGGAGCCGGCGGGTGATGCGGAAGCGGGGTGCTCCTTTTACGAACAACGTGTGGTATCATTTCTTGATTTTTCGAAACGATGTCGAAATCAACCCGGTGATGAGTTTCGGAAAAAGAAGCTACATGCAGGTACGGTCCGGCCCGCACTCAGGCAGCAAGCACCGAGAAGGAGGATCTTGGTGGCGGGCGCTTGGCTTCGCAGCAGAGCCAGTGCCGGTGCCTACCTAGCAACCTCGGGATCATACAGATAGGCCGATGACGCTTGCTTGGCAACGACGACCTGCCCACACACACCACTCTCTTTTTTCTGTCACCAAAATGCTCCCAAGTCATGAGACCACTGCTGCTGTACACAAGTATTTGGCTGTTGTTGAGATTGATAACCTCGCCGACGTTCCAAAGAACACATGTCATCGAAGAGGATCAAAGAAGATCTCATCTCACCTTGGGGTTGGCGCCACAGTCGATTGACGAGAGGATAGTGAGCGTCGTCCCGGCCAACGTAGCCTCGGTGGGGATGTCGTCGCACGAGCGAATCCATGTAGGTCCGTCGCCGAAGGGTCGAGCTTGGATGCCCGACATCGCGCACGCGAGGAACGCGAGAATGCCGTACAGCAGCATCTTGGGAAGATGCATACTTACCGCAGTGTAGTAGGGTCTGGTGCAGGAGAGAATATGTGGCCACTGTTCGGCTAGGGTCAGTCTCAAGAGCACAGCAGGTGTGTGCTCCGTGGGTGTGAGATGGATAGTGTTGTGATCGATCTCATCCGGATGGCAGAGCCGACCGCACGACAGGGGTCGCCCCCAGGGAAGAGGTAAAATGTCGCGTCCCATCACGTCTCCTTTGATGTACATGTTCACTACCTCCTTCCGTTCGTTCGATTGCTGCTGCTGCGGACCGATGCGGACCGCAACAAATAGTTGGTGTCTTTCCGCCCAGAAATATTCCACACATGCACGTTGCAGTTATTCACCGACAGATATGACGCTGTTGTTGTTAGCAGCGGTTCTGGTGGACGAGTAGCGGCGTGCCTCGGTGAGTGCTATTCGGTTGCTGCAGGCATTCGTTGTGCATGGGCGACATCGGGTACCGCATGATCGTCTATCTGCAGATTGGTCCCTTTGTTCTCCACGCGCATCACTTCGAGGAAACAAGTTCGGAGGAGTGCCTGCAGCGAAATACACATCAAAGACAAGCATTATCCAATAGCCCAACAGGTACACACGCACAACGAATCCGCCTTACCGGTCGTGCCCAGGATCCTCGGTGGTATGTTTCTTGCTGATCGAAAGCCACCCCGGAACAGACAATACCCCGTCCTGCCGTTTGTACAAGGAGCCTGGTCTATGGCATAGGATTCTCGAATTCTCCACGCTTCGTTGCGTTCACGCGAAAGGATGAAAACATTGGCTGCGACGAGATTATTCGCCGGTGACGGTTTATTGTTTTTTTTTGGGGGGGGCACCCACTAAAATAGCGCAATGCGTCCCAACGTAGTGTTCTAGTGAATCAACAACGAAGAACATACACGTGGGCAACATGAATACAGCTAGCTATTGGTGCGGTTCAGTGCCAATGGATATCAAGGAGAGGCAGCTCACTTTATACGTGTGCGAGGGGACAATTGGGGAGGAACATCCCTGAATATCTCTTCTTTGAAGCTATATACAATAATCGAGAAGACCAAGGCTGGCTGCAGGCAATTGGGTAGGGGGAATTGCGAACGACTTTTGTTTGTCATGTCATATGAATGGATGGGACGAAGGAGATACAATGAATGCATACTCCAGAAGAAGGCACGTCCGCGGGCCGTACATGCTGTTAGAGGAGTGCTGCTACACGCAACTGTTGGTGGTAGTCTGTGCAAAAAGTATTCCACAATGTCATGCCGAATTGACTGGGAGCTAGGTCGACAGCCTACAATATACATATATATATATGCCGTCAACAGATTGATGTTCTGGACATGTGTCAATGTACCCATTTTCACTCCTCGATCGACTGAATTGAATTTGTTCCCTCGTTCGACAAGATTTTCGAAGGTTTTTGTCGACCGGGGGCGCGCGGGGATCGACACCAAAACTGGCGGTGCCCGTCAAACCACCGTCGTCGTGTGCGGTTTCGCTGTCCTCGGCGATCCGTACATCTCTTCATGGAAGTGGTGGAACTTTCCTGGGAAGCTCTACATACAGGTTTATTTCGTGGAAATTGTGGGGATTTCGTGGAGGACGGGCAACAACCTTTCCCGATGTTTTGTCTCAACTTACCATCAAACCCTGGCGTTTGCTGTCTACCGCAACTTTCCTCATGGAACTGGCGAAAAATAGAATATTTCATTTCCTATCATAGTGCAGCTCGAAATGATTGTTTTCATGCCGACCCGAGCTCTCGCCATCCCGAAGCATGGACATGTACAAGGTTTATGTCCCACAGCAGTAGAAGTTGATGCGTGTTTGTTCCCCACGGAGTTCGACGCTGTTAGATATACTCGCAGCAGTATCTGGTCGTGAGGATCCCAGGGGATACGTGTTGGGAATTTCGTGTGTAGTAGGGTACCACCGGTGCAGTCACGGGGATCCTTTTGGCGTGGTTGGTGCGATGGAGCTTGCGCGCGTGCTGCGCAATTCTTCTTCCCTCTCTCTCTCCACCAACACCACCGTCTCTTTCAATCAAGTTTCCTTCTCCCACTCTCTCCAACTCTCTCTCAACCTCTCTCTCTCGGTCTAACACGGCCGACTACCCAGTGCCCCAAGTAACGTCCAGAACGTGCTTGCTGCACCCCGCGTAGTTTACCTTTCAGAATCGAAGGATTCCGTGGAAAATTAACAACTTTCACGGAAAAGTACGTTATGTACTTCTCCTCGGAGGAAGAATTCCGATTGGGTTTCGGCCTGGACGTAGCACCACGGAAGTCCTGGAAACGCGCTTGAGTGAATGAATTTCGCCCTTTCCATGGGACGTACGCTCGACTCCTCTGGAAGTTACGCTTGGCTTCTTTGAAAGCTGAACAATAGGCTGTGTCTTTATCGCTGCGAATTTCGACTCTGTCTGATATCACCCACCGGGCAATGATTTCGGCCGATCAGGATCTAGCACCGATGTTGACCAAGAGGACCCTGCCCGCGCATTTGCCTACACGTTCCCTCCGTACCCAGGGTTCGATGTCTCCCCCGACAGCGATGCTTGCTTCGGCTTGTCCCGTGTTCATTCTCTTACGCGGGAGCCCGGTCTCGTGGGAAACGCGCGCTCCCGCCGCGTGTACTCTGGGGCCAGGCGGCATCACTATTCTACTCGGGGTCCCTACAAGTGAGTGCTCTTGCCCGGGCATTCATGAGATAACATCCCGATCGTTGCACTTTGAGCCCAGTGTCGACCTTGCGCCCCAAACATCCGCAAAGATTGGAGAGCTACCACTGAAGCAGCCGGTGTCAGTGTAAAACTGTAGAAGGACATCTGGCATCTGGCGGCGCGAGAGATTTACATTTGGTTCGGCGATGGTTCACTCTCACATCCTACCATCTTCTCGCCTCTGTCCGAGCTCGTGGTTTTACCGATCCCTTGTCCTTCACCCCTTGTCCTCCATCTTTCCAGCAGTATTGCTGCACCGGACCTCTCTCAACGCCAAACCCAGAAATTGGCTGCCCTCTCCCTTATCATTCTGTCCGAGGTCCAGGCTACACCCGCTCCCACTCTCCCGGCTCCAAGCAAAGTTCCGTCCAACCCACATCTGTTTGGCTGCTCACAACGTCTGTGTCTGCAACCGGCCGGGCGTCCCCCCCCCCTCCCCCACGACGCACAAGTCTCGTCTCTACCCGGACACCTGGCTGTATCGATCTTTTTTTCCCCTCCCCAAGCCAAATAGATTCCAGCCCACCGGTTTGGCTTCGACCGACATCGCTCGTCGCGAGGCAAATACCCTCGCCGACGCTTCTCATGTTATGCCATCTTACGCCCGGCTGGGCTCTTGCCTACACCAATCCCTTGCCATCCAACCCCCGCCTTGCACGCACTCCTGGTCTGCAACCGATATCGCTCCTCGCCACCAATCGTTGCCTCGACCCTTCTCCCA